ATTTACAAGGAGACGCGTTCTCCGATCTTCATCTCCGATCTCCAATCTCCAATCTCGTGGGGGAGAGGCGTGTCAGGGGGGGGATCGACGTCCTTCCAAGGGTGCTCTTTTCCTTTCACACCTTCAAGCGGATCTCCACCCTTTTCGCGCCATTTTGCAATCTCCAGTCGGCCACACGATTCTCGAGGCGCCTTTGGCGCGAAGTCAACATCTCCGTCTCCGGCCTGAGATCTCGAGGTGCCGATGGCGGCAGCTCAAGAACAAGATCTCGCTATCTTCAGTTAAAGATCTCTGAGTTTTGTGAGAGATGCTGTGTGTGGAAGATCTCTGATCGGCATCTACGATCTCCACTCAACAAATCTACTGGTGTCCCGCAGAGATCTCGATGTATGTTACCTTCCTCTGATCAACCCCAAAGAGGATACCAAAGACTGGGCTGGGCCTCACTTGCTCTCACAACCGCCATCCCACTCTCTCCCCGCTCTTCCGCTACCGCCTCGCCGCCTGCGCTTCCCGCTCGCTCAGCAGCTTGCGCAGCGAGCGCACCTTGCCCTCCGCCTCGGCCAGCTCCGCCCGCTTGCGCTTCAGCCGCTCCGCGTCCTCCGGGCCCCACCCTATTCGCAGCGGGACGGCGTGAAGAGAGACGCGCCGCCGGGAAGGGGCGCGCGCGAGTCGGGGGCCGCCACCGCTGCCGCCGCCGCCGCCGCCCGCCTCCGTCGGCGGCTCGTCCGTGACGCCCGACGCGGCCTTCTGCAGCTTGTCCTCGATCTGGCGCGACACGAGGACGGGGAGCCGCGGCAGCCGGTCGCCGAAGAAGTCCTGTTCGCACAACTCTTCTTTATTCGGCGGGCCGGCGCTTCTTGCTGTGGCCGCGAGCCGCGAGGGGGGCCTGGTCAGTCATCAGCCGGCGCACAAACTCGCCGATGGTGGTGGCGGTGGCGGGGGTGCCGTCGATGAAGAACTGGTCGTCGTCGCCGAGGTACGGCTGGAACCACGCCCAGAGCTCCTTGAAGTCGTACAGCCCGAGCCGCAGGTAGAGGAAGCCGATTGCGCGGATGTAGGGCGAGTCCGGGTGGCGCAGCAGCGACCGCACCTGGTCGCGGGTGAGCCGCAGCAGGAAGAGCTTGAGCAGCATGGTGTAGGCGATGCCGGGCGTGCCCGCGTTCGACACGCCGCGCACGGCGCTCTGCATGCCGCTGGAGCGCTTGCCGTGCGTGCCTGGCACCCACGGGGTAACGTACTTGACCTCGTAGAAGATGGCGTCGACGACCTCCCCAAACGTGGTGAGCTTGGCGAGCTCCCAGAACCGATCGCCCATCCGGATGCCCTCGAGCAACATTGGGTTGATGTTGAACGCAGGAGCGCCGTGCACTGGGTCGGCAATCTTGACGAGCGGGACGACGTCGGCCTCGTGCGGGCCCTCCTCGTTGGGCTCGGCGTACTCCTGCGTCCGGTTCCCGCCCGCCGGGTCCTGGCGCACCGCCTCGAGCCGGCCGGAGAAGAAGTACCTGCGCGGTGCGACGGCGCACGCGTCGGCGGCTGCCACGGCGCCGGCGCGGCGCGCGGCTCGGCGGCGGCCGAGCCGCGCCGGCCGAGCCGCGCGGCGCGAGGCTCGAACCGCGCAGGGAGGAGGCGCGCGCGGGGAGGCTTAGCACTTGTTGTGCGTCATGGATGAGCCATAAAAAAGAAAGAATAAAAAAGAAATGCCACGCGGGGCTCTCTTGCCGTAACCCGATGCCGAGCGTCCGGCCAACTGGGTGCGCTTCTCAGCTCCCCGGTCCTGGGCGTGAGGTTAATGACTGCACTCCAAGTGCTCCAAGTTCACAGACAAGAGACCCCTGTGTGGTGGCTGGCGGCGTGCCGTCCTCCCATCCCTCCCTTGGGGCGTCTGTTTTCTTTCTTTCTTTTTCGGACGACCGCGAGGTGGCATGAAGGTTGCAGCGAGAATCGGCGAGAGACTGCGAAGAGAGATAGGAAGAGGCGGACGCCCAAGGGTGGGCGACGGCTAGCGCACCACACTCCTCTCCTTAAAATCCCTGTGTGGAGAGAGAGAGAGAGATTTTTAGCAATACCAAACAACTCTCCAAATGACGTGTGAGTGTTAGACCTGTGTGGTGGCGGCGTGCCGTCCTCCCATCCCTCCTTTGGGTTGTCCATTTTCTTTCTTTTCTTTCTTTACAAGAGAACAAACAAAATTTTATGTCCCACCATGCAGAGCGCATCTCTCTCTCTGTTGTGCGAGGCGTGAACCGCGCCATTCGCTCTCACCTGGCAACCCTGTCTGCACGTCTCGCGCGCGCGTGAACAGGGCTCCAGGCCCCAAATGACGCGTGAGTGTTAGATTTGTTTGGTATTGCTAAAAATCTCTCTCTACAAGAGACCGAACCAGACCGAAGGTTCACCCTGACGGGCGGGGGACGGGGCCCTGGGGAGCCGGGCAAAGTACACATTAGGCAGTCGTGTATGTGCGTACGTGACGTGTGGTGTCGCGTCCGTGTCCACTAGCTCCGAGTAGAGGGGGCGTTCTGCAGTTAAGCTTAAGGGGAAACCCGGTACACGGAGCCCTCTCGGAGACCCGTGTTTACTTTACGGCCCTTTCCCTGCGAACGCGCACCCCCCAGGGCTAGGGCTCTCTAGCCCGCAACCCGATACCGATCGTCTGGCCCGCTGGGTGCGCTTCTCTCCTCCCCGGCCCTGGATGTGAGGTCACCGACTGCACTCCAAGTGCTCCAAGTGCTCCAACTAGACTGGGAGAGAGAGCGAGAGAGCGAGAGAGAGAGAGAGAGAGAGAGAGAGAGAGAGAGAGAGAGAGAGAGAGAGAGAGAGAGAGAGAGAGAGAGAGAGAGAGAGAGAGAGAGAGAGAGAGATGGTGTTGCAAGTGCTCCGGAGTGCCCTGCTCGGGCAAGTGCAAATGCAGCCCCCGCCGTCCCCGCCGTCCCCGCCGTCCCCGCCGTCCCCGCCGTCCCCGCCGTCCCCGCCGCCTTCACCGCCTTCGCTGCCTTCGCCGCCTTCGCCGCCTTCGCCGCCACCTCCCTTGTTCACGTGCTACTGCGGCTCGCACGAGCAACCACCGAACCAGGTTCACGGTGGCCAGCCAGCAGTATGAGAACCAACCGTACACATGAACTACGGACATGCGCGTTTTCGCGCACGCAGCCATCAAGTGCTACTGCGGCTCTAGCGAGCAGCAGGACTGGCTCTCTCTGCTCGAGCAGAACCCTGCTTCGGTGTGCAAGTCACACACACAAGGTGTGGTGGGGACCCCGCCCAGGCGGGGGATCCAACTAAAGCCGTTCCCGTAAAAGCCGTAGGGGGGGCGGGTGCCGTAGCGCGTAGGGCAAGTTTTCACTCCGTGTCGAGACTTGCGGTCTTAAGTAATCTTTGCGCCCGAACCCCGAACCCCGATGGACACGCGGCATGCTAAAGACGCGCGCCTTGGCGCGCTCCTGTGGTGCAGGAGGAAGGCCAGCGGTCGTGCTGCGCAGGCCCGGCCGTCTGGCTGAAGGGAGCAGCAGCTGGCGCTCAACAGCAGCGCTGGCGAGCGGCGCAGTCACACCACAGTCCCGCCACACTCCCGCTGGTCCCCCCCGTCCGGTCGTGGCGGCGGCGGTAAAAAAGCCGGCTCGGGCTCGCCCTCGCCGTCGCTCTCAGGCAAGGGGGATGTCGCAGCGTCCTCCAGGCGAAGACGCTCCGCCGCCGCAGCAGCCTCCGCCTCTGCCGCCGCAGCAGCCTCCGCCGCCGCCGCCGCAGCAGTCTCTGCCTCTGCCGCCGCAGCAGCCTCCGCCGCCGCCGCCGCAGCAGTCTCTGCCTCTGCCGCCGCGGCAGCCTCCGCCGCCGCCGCCGCAGCAGTCTCTGCCTCCGCCGCCGCGGCAGCCTCCGCCTCTGCCGCCGCAGCAGCCTCCGCCGCCGCCGCCGCAGCAGTCTCTGCCTCTGCCGCCGCAGCAGCCTCCGCCGCCGCCGCCGCAGCAGTCTCTGCCTCTGCCGCCGCAGCAGCCTCCGCCTCCGCCGCCCTCTCCGCCTCCTTCGCCGCCTCCTCAGCCGCCACCCTTGCAGCCTCCTCCTGCGCCGCTTTCTCAGCCTCGGCTCGGGCGGCCTCCTCCAAAACAGCAGCCTCCGCCTCTGCCACAGCCGCCTCTGCGTCAGCCGCCTCTGCCGCAGCCGCCTCGGCAGCAGCCTGCTCCTCGAGGTGGGCCTTCTCTGCGGCCGCCGCCTGCTCCGCCGCCACCCTCGCCGCATCGGCCGCCACCACCTGCTCCGCCGCCGCCCCCGCCGCCGCCGCCGCCTCCGCCTTCACCGCAACCCAGGAATGGGTGGCTGCTTCTGCCCCGTCAGGCAGGGAGATTGGCCCGCCCGGTGGCGGCGGCGGCAGCACAGCCTCCTCGGGCTCGCCCTCGGGCAAGGGCGCTGCCAACGCCCACTCGGGGAGGGAGATCGCTCCCGAGGACCTCGAAGGCGGCGCCGAGGGCATGACCGAGGGCACGACCGAGGGCAGCGGCGGCGGCATGGGCGGCGGCCCGCTTGGCCGGCGGAGCCTCCGGTCCGGAAACATCCTCTCCTCGTCGCCCTCTTGCCTCGTGGATGCTACCCCACGCGTCGCGCGCATCAGGATGGCTTCAGCCTCCCCGATCGGCGTCGCGTCCCCCTCGTCGGCCCAGCACGAGGGCGGCCGGTCGAGCACGGGCGAGGACGGCCGTGGCACGGACTCGACGCGCACTCGCCCGCCCACCTGGGGAAGCAAGGGAGGCGAAGTAGCCGTCTCCACACACGCAAGGGGGGCGGGGGGGTAGGGTCCACGGCCAGGCAGCCCTCGGGCCCTTCGCGTCCACAGGAGCGCGGCGTGGACAAGTGCTCGCCCCGGCGCGTGTGCGGCACGGCGTGTGTGTGTGCGGGGAGCGGTGCACACCTGCCGTGTCACCACGCCGCTCACCACCCTCCCACCGGTCAGCCGCGCTTGCACGTGCCGCCCGACGAGGCCGCCCGACGGACTGGCTCGGGTCGCGTCCTCGGACGCCGCCTCGTCTCCTTGCTGCTCGCCGCCTAACCTCGGAACGTCTCGGATCATCTCAGGATCATCTCATCGTTCGCCTCGTCATGTCCCCGCTGCTCGCCGCCTCCGCCAGCGAGCGAAGCGTAGGCGCGCCCTGGGGCGACCCTAGCGCGCACCGACGCGAAGGTGCCGAGTATGGCGCCTAAGAAAGAAAGACGGATGCACAAACAAAGAAGTACCCCCGCAAGCAAATGCCGAGAGAGCTCGGCGCCCGCGTCGCGGACGAGCGTCGCCTCGGCGCGCCGCCTCGCCGCCTCGCGCATCTCGAGCGTGTCGAACGCCTCTGCGCGGCTGTCGAAGATGGAGGCGAGCTCCGTGTCCACCTGCCGAGATGACCCGAGATGACCCGAGATGACCCGAGATGACCCGAGATGACCCGAGATGACCCCGAGATGACCCCGAGATGACCCCGAGATGCGAGCTCCTTGCCCACCTGCCGCCGCTCCTTGCGCACGCGCCTCCGCTCCGCCCGCCGCCTGCGCCACCGGCGAGTCTTTGCGGCCAGCGCGGCGACGGCCGCGAGCGAGCACAGCACGGCGGCGGTGGTGAGGAGGGTGTCGAGAACTCGCTCGCTCACGTTGACGCCGTAGTGGTCGTTCCCGAGACGCAGCTCGCAAAACAGCCGCCCGCCGTCTTTGCCGAGCGCGCACTGCTGCGGCAGCGGCGGCAGCGGGCAGCGCAGCCGGTCCTGCGGCAGATAGCAAAGCTGCAGCGCCGTCGCGGCGGAGATGCTCGCCGGCAGCGAGCCTAAAAGAGGAGAGCCCCCAACCTTAAAGGGAACACGGTGGGGCGGAGAGAGATGCTCGCCGGCAGCGAGCCGCTGAGTAGCGTGAGGGAGAGGTCGAGCTCGACCAGCGCGGGGCCTAACGCCAGGGAACGCCACCCGCGGCGTGAAACAGAAACACGCGGCGCACGACGAGCTCCACCGGCGTGGGGCCGAGGGCTGTGAAGAGCTCGGCGGGCAGAGTGCCGGAGATGGCCGCGCTGGAGAGGTGAAGGAGCTCGAGGTCGGAGATGCGGCCGAGCTGGAGGGGGAGGGTGCCTGCAGTACGTTGCACTCTCAGAGTATTATAGGCCGCAGAGAGATGCCAGGCGACCGCAAGGCAGAGAGATGCGGCCGAGCTGGCAGGGTGGGGAGGGGGGGGGGGGTGGCGAGGGTGCCGCTGACGCGCGTGAGCGACAAGTCGAGCGCCTCGAGGTGGCGCAGATCACCTGCGGTGCCGACATGACTGAGGCTGAGATGGGATCACGAGGATGGATCGAGCGGAGGCGCGGAGGTCGCCAAGCTGGCGCGGCAGCGTGCCGCTCAGAGGTGTGCCTAAAAGCGAACAGCGGCTGGCGTGCAAACAAGAAGGACTTTTGCGGTGCGGCCAAGAGGCGCGCCTCGCAGCGTCAGCTCCTCGAGCGCCGAGCCGGCCTCCCCGACAGAGAGGGGAAGCGTGCCGCTGAGGCGGGTGCCTAAAGAAGAAATGCGTCGCCGCCGTACATGAAGAAGTGGCCGGACCGCGAGGCAGCCGCTGAGGCGGGTGCCGGAGAGGGCGAGATCGTCGAGGAGGGGGAGGGAGGCGAGGAGGCCGGCGGGGAGGGTGCCCGACACGTTCACCCGAGTGAGCTCGAGCACCTCGAGCGCTGCCAGAGAGAGGAGCGCCGAGGCGGGGAGGGTGCCTGTCAGGTGTGCCGCCGCGGAGAGCCGCAACTCACGCAGCTCCGCCAGCTCCGCCAGCGCGTCGGGGAGGACGCCGGGCGCCTGCGGAGAGGGGCGTGCGGGGTGGAGACGCAACGGCGGGGTGGGAGGACGGGACCACTGAGGCCCGGCGCAGCGTGACGAAGAGAGAGGGCTCGCGTCCCCTCTTTGAGACGTGGGGCGACGCCACGGCGGGGATGGGGCCGGGGACAGGCCCGACGTCGCAACCATGCGCGGACGAGGCGGCGGGGAGGTGGCATCCATGTGTGCACGCACGGTCCCCCGTGCGCACGCAGGTGTGCTCCGTGGGCCGCGGACTCTGACAGAGTGCGGCACGCGGCAAGAGTGCGGCACGCGCCAGCTCGGCGCCGACGAGGTGCAGCGACGAGACGGCGAGGGCGGGACCCTGCATCCAGCCGCTCGCATTCCGCCACCAGCCGCCAGAGGGAGAACCCTCGCCCGCCACCTCGCAGTGAACGCCGCCGCGCGAGCAGCACCACAGTGACGCCGCGGAGCCGGTGGCGGACGCGGGGGAGGGCGGCTTGTTGCTCGCGCGCCGGGGCGGCGGGGGCGGCAACGCGCTTGAGAGGAGCTCGACCGCACCGCACTCGACGAGCCGAGGCGGCGAGGGCGAGGGCGGCGGCGGCGAGGGCGGTGGCGGGGAGGGTGGCGGTGGGGAGGACGGCGACGGAGGCAGAGGCGACGGCGGAGGCAGAGGCGGCGTCGGAGCGGGCGGAGGGGAGTAGTTTGGCGCAAGCGGTGGCGAATGGTTCCCGATCGGTGGCGGCTTGGCTACCAGCAGCCATATTGAGGACAGCGAAAGCATCTCACGAACAGGTGCCTTGGACTAACAGGGAAGCGCCGTGACACAAAAAATAGCGGAAAATGATAGCCTGGAGTGGGGGGGCCCCGAGCCCTCCCCGCGGCGCAACTCTAGCAGCGGTGTGTGTGTGTGTGTGTGTGTGTGTGTGTGTGTGTGTGTGTGTGTGTGTGTGTGTGTGTGTGTGTGTGTGTGTGTGTGTGTGTGTGTGTGTGTGTGTGTGTGTGTGTGTGTGTGAGATTTTTACTCGCAGAATGTGGGTAAACGAAAGTAGCGTATACGCTACTATGAAAGAAGAAGCCGAAAAAACACGCCGGAGTCAGTCCGCCCGAGCCAGCCAGCTGCCGGCTCGCACGGCAGCCTCTTCCTCTCGACCAGCCTCAACTTCCGTACAGTCAGCATTTTGTCGCTGCGTGCTCGTGGTGAGCTGTGGCGGCGGTCGAAGTTCGCCCAGATTCGACGACGAGCGCCGGACGATAGTACCGCCTCTGTTCGCCCTGTGCATGTCAGGCCAGGCTGCAGCAGGGCACTACCATCGTGCTGCCCTGCTGCAGCCTGACTTTGCCCACTGTGCACAGTCGCCAGAGCACCACCACCGCCCGGCATCGTGTCACGGCGAGCTCCTTCTGCGCCCGCTCGCGAGGCTCTCGCGCTGGCACACTTTGGCCATCTGCTGCTCGCGTTCGGCGAGCTCATCTCCGCACTCCTGCCACGGTGCCGTCACCACACACCTTCTGGCCGGCCTGAGCCGCGCGGGGTCGCCAGCGGGGGCAACGCGTCGACCTCTCTCTCTGGTGCACCACGGGCCGCAACGGCCTGCTAGCCGCGTGCGCGAGGAGGCAGTGTGCCGGCACAGTCGAGCCGGAGCATCGGGTTCTGGATGCTTGTGGGGTCAAGTCTGACCTTATGCGGCCTAATATGCAATAATAATGCTATGCTCTCACCCAGTCTGTTGAGATATTATCCCTCAGTCCTCAAAGTCGAATTTTCGTTTACTGGTGACCATAGTAGTGTCTGTCTTGTTTGCGAGATCTTCAAACGAATCCCTTAAAGTCTCGACAATCACTAAGCTGCTTATGTGGCACCGCAGAGGCTCCCTTGGGGATGCCTGAGGCCACCCCAACCACACACTAAGCCGTACGTAGACGAATTGGGCGCTACTTTTTTCGTTTACCCACATTATGCGAGTAGCAATACCAAACAACTCTAACACTCACACTTTGTTTGTTTTGTGTGTGTGTGTGTGTGTGTGTGTGTGTGTGTGTGTGTGTGTGTGTGTGTGTGTGTGTGTGTGTGTGTGTGTGTGTGTGTGTGTGTGTGTGTGTGTGTGTGTGTGTGTGTGTGTGTGTGTGTGTGTGTGTGTGTGTGTGTGTGTGTGTGTGTGTGTGTGTGTGTGTGTGTGTGTGTGTGTGTGTGTGTGCGTGTGTGTGTGTGTGTGTGCGTGTGCGTGTGCTGTGCGACCCGCCCTGACGCGCGATCACCGATTTGTGACGCTCACGGCACCTTGGTTTCTTTGCCCAGCGCTGAGTCAGCAGGCATGACTGTCTCCGGTGGGGAGGCGCGCCGCAGGGTGGGAGAATTCTTTTTTCGGCTAGCGACGATGTTCATCTTTCTACATACGATGAAGAGACAAAGAATAGCGCGGAAGGAGAGAGAGAACGACGAGAGCGGGACGAACACAAGGGGGAAGTGACCTTGCATCGCCCAGTAGAGCCTGCATCATGATATGATGACCCCTGGGGTTTGCCGTCATGTCGGCTCCTCGCTCGGCTCCTCGCCCTCTCTCTACTGCTAGGGAAGGCTCCGCGTCCTGACGCTGAGCAAACGAGCTGTGGACTGATGTGTAGCGCTAGGGTTCACGACCGTCACCTGCGTGTCAGACCTCAGACGCTGACCAGAGCAGGGAATATTTTATTTCGGGGAACGATCCCCCACGGGTCGGTGGTGCCCCTAAGCCCTAGGAGCACCCCAAGGTTCGATTTCCGCAGAGCTTTTCGGCCGCGTGACAAAAAGTTGGGCACTGGGGTGTGGAGGAAGAAGCTCGTAGGCGAAGAGAAGGTCCACTCAGTGCGCTTGGCGGTGCGGCGGGTACCCGTGCAGAGTAGCCAGCGCCTCATTAGGTAGATGCGCAAGAGACGGCTCGTCGCGCGTGCGAGGTTAGAGGACTGCTAGTCAGGGGAAAGACTCTGTGCTGCCCACCCTTGAAGCAAGAGGAGTGAACTTTCCTGGCAGGATGCGCACCAAAAAGAAACCGCGACCCGTGGAGAAATTCTTTTTCAAAGAAAGTCCCGCACACGAACACCCTTTGCCGCAAGAAAGTGGGTGTTCACTGGCACCGTGCCGGTTGCGAGCAGCAGAACGCTGCCATCGGACTGGTCGGCATGAGTCCCAAGCAGCCTCGTTGAACGGGAAGGCCTCAAAAGGTCGGGCCGGAACATTCCAGTTACCGTCGCTTCACGCAGGTCCAGCGTGCGCAAATGCGGCCTAAGCAGCCTCGTTGAACGGCAGAACGGGTTGGCTTGAGAGAGCGATAGCCTCCACAGGACGTCGCGCAAACCCAGCAGAGGCTGTCGTTACCATGTCCATGAAAAGTCCAGAATACTCCCGGTCGGGCCGGATCATTGCAGTTGCCGTCGCTCCACGCAGGTCCGGCGTGCGCAAATGAGTGAGCTTGGACGCGGAGGCGCGGTTGTGCAGGAGTTCGCGGTGTATGTAGACATTTCTCTTCGCTTTTACGGAAACGGACGTCCAAAAAAGAATTTCCCGGCCGCCAGGTGGGGCTGCCGGCCGACTTCCGTCACAGTTAAGGTGCACCTTCGAAAAAGAAAGAAAGAAAACGAGTGACGTCCTTCTTCGCGCCTTTCTTCTTGTCGGCTGCTTGTGAGGCGTCTGCTAGTACGTATGTATATATCGGTTGTTTGTTGCCAACGATGAGTGCTACCGAGTCGAAGCCGCTGTCCACCGCCGCCGACGACGAAAAGATCGTCCAACCGCCCACGAGACTCGAGAAAACCGTGGCGCGCCCGACGCCCCCCTTCGCCCTTCCTGCATGCGCGCATCGGCGACGACGCGCACATCGAGTCCCACCCCCCTTCCCCGTTCGTCAGGTCGAGGCCGCAGAGCCGGCCGCGGCAGACGCGGCGCCCGCCGCCGCCGACCCCACCCTGTCTGCCGGCGAGCCCACGGAGCCCAAGCCGAAGGCACGCCCACTCTCAGCTTCCTCGCGCCCGCCCGCCGAACCCACCTCCCCATAAATATTTCGACGCGCACCGCAGGCCGGGTCGGAGGGGAAGGCCGAGCAGAAGGAGGCCGCGCCGCCCACGGCCGCCGACGAGCCCGCCGACGAGCCCGCCCCGACCGCGGGCGAGGAGAAGGCCGACGCGACGAAGGGCGCGTCGCCGGCTTCCGAGGCCGGCGGCAAGGTCGAGGCCGCGGCGGAGCCTGACGCCGGCAATCCGGCCGCCGAGACGAACAAGACGGCGGCGTCTGCCGCACCAGAGGACGAAGCGTGGAACGCCGAGGGCGAGCTCAACGGCTACGATGGCTCGCCGCGCAAGGTCGCCGCTCTATGTCCACCTGTCGCCGGGCCCTGAGTTCACCTCGCTCTCCCCTCTCTCCCGCTCGCCCCGCTCTCTGCCCGCACCGCCTACGCTATGCCACGCCATGCCATGCTCATCTACGCGCTCCGTTATGTGCCGAGTCGTGCCTAGCCTCTCGGTTCCTCCTTATGCGCCACACACTCTCTGCTCGATTGCATCGCTAGCGGTAGTAGTCGAACGTCTCACTCCCTCCCTCCATCGCGCAGGTGGGCGTGCAGTCGGACTTCGACGTCACCTTCGTTGCCCCGGACAGCAAGGAGCTAGTCTTCCGGGTGGACCGGCAGAATTCTCTGGCCGTTGGACGTGACCCGAGGATGACCCTGGTGCTTCCACAGCCGGTGATATCGGCCTCCCACTGCCGACTCTTCTGCGCAGAAACTGGCGAGCTGTGTATCGTCGACACGTCGTCCAACGGCACCTTCGTCAACGGGACGCGTCTTTCGAAGGGCGAGGTGCAAGTCCTGCAGTCGGGAGCTTTCATCTGCCTCGTCCTCGCTACTCTGCGTGGCGCACCCCTCCGTAGCGCACCCCTCCGGTCCGAGGTTGATTCGATGAGCACGGGTGAGCGGACGCGGTACGTCGGCTACTTTCGCTGCACGCCGGCAGAGGAGAGCAGCTAGCTCTACCCCTCCCAAGACACGAGTAATTATTGCTCCCTCAGCCCGAGGACACACGCGAGGCACGCCACAAAACGCGAACCCGCCCCGCCCCGAAATGAGCATGATTATCTCACCGATATCGAAACCCGACCCGCACAGGTCAGGCGCGAGGCGGCCGCGAGCAACGCAAACGGCACCACCGTCGTCGGCGATGGCGCCCCCGCGTGCAGCCACGGCACACGCCATGCCGCCGCACCGCCGCCCGCGGGGACGGTGTGCGCCGGCCGCTGCAGCTGCAAGGGCAACCCCGGCGAACGCCGCGCCAAAACCGCCAAACGGCACCTCCGGCTCGGCCTCACGGCGCCAGCCGCGCCGCTTCCCGCGAGGAGCGCCGCCAGCACCGCAGCTGCCCCCTCCCCCGCCTATCTCGACGGCGGCGACGGGGTCAAGAGCGCTAGCGGCCTGCGGCAGTCGCTCCTGGCGCAGGCGTCGAGCTCGCCTGAGCAGTGTCAGCGGCGTGAGCGCAGCCCTGCCGCTGACAGCGACGAGGGAGGCGCCCCGACGCGTGCGGAGCGGTCAGCGTCAGTCCGCAGAGCGCCGGCGAGGCGTCCGACTCGGACGAGGGCGAGCCAGGCGGCGCTGGCGGCGAGGCTGCGGCTGCCGAGGGCGGCGCGGCTGGAGGCGAGGGCGAGAGCGGCGGCATGGCGGACGGAGGAGGAGGCGAGGGCGGCGGCGGGGCGGGCGGCGGCGACGGGGGAGGCGGCGAGGGCGGGAGCAGCAGCGAGAGCACCGCCGTCACGAAGCGAGGCAAGGGCGCGGGTGGGCGGCGCGGCGGCGGTGGTGGCGGCGGCAGCGCGGTGGCGTCCGGTGGGAGCGGCGCATTCTCGGGCGGCGGGCCGGACGCGTCGGCAGCGGGCGGAGCGGGGCTCGAGGCCGGGCAGCGCGGCACGGCGCTGACGTGCGCGGGCTCCGCCGGTCAGCCTGCCGCCGGTCAGCCCGCCGCCGTGCGTGCCCTGCTCGGGGAGAAACTTCTGCTGCGCCAATCCTCGGGCTCTGTGCAGGGCGTTCGCCTCGGCGGTGCGGCAAAGGCGCGCGGACGGCTGATCTCGGCTGACCTCGGCTGATCTCGGCTGATCTCGGCTGATCTCGGGATGGTCTCTCGATGTCGCCCAAACTCGCAGGTGCGGCGGGGCGATTGGCAGGGCCACGTGACGTCATATTGCGGAGCGCACTTCCGCGTGCGCTGGCGCACCGCTGCGAACGAGAAACTCGACGAGGAACATGATCCTGAGAGCACGAGAGCGACGGCTCAGATTGTGACTGTCCACGACGCAGCGAGTAGGAGCACACCTTCGTGTCGCTGCAGCCGCTGCTCGTCCGTCCGCCAGCCCAGGAGAACGCTCCCGGGAAGACGTCCGGCAAACGGAAAACAAAAGCTGCACGGAAGGCGACACCTGCACCCGCCGCGAAGCGTGGGCGGTGGGCCCCCAGCCCGGACGATCTCGATCTGCTGCAAGCGACCTACGAGGCAAGGACGCACGGCAAGGGGACCCACCCGGATCGCGAGGAGCGCAACCGGCTCGCGAATGCGCTTGGTGTCACGCCCGAACAGGCGAGCCCTCCCTCCCGCCTACCGCCTCTCCTCTCGAGCCGTCTCGTCGCATGACTCTCTCCTACCCTCGTCTCGCCCCTCCCCTCCACCCTCCCCTCTCGCATCAAATCTCGCCTCCTACCTCACCCCTCCTCGTCGCCCGTCGCCGCCTAACACAGCTGAGACCTCAACTGCAGGTGCAGGACTGGTTCCAAAACAAAAGAAAGCGCGACCCGCAGGGCGCAGATAAGATGGCTGCGATCGAGCGTAGCGAGACTGCCTGCAAACGCACCACCGGATGCGTCAAACCCGACGGCCACGCTGGGGTGTGCACGTGGGCAGCGCTGGGCAGCGGCCTCTGCAAAGACAGCAAAATGCCGCGGTGGCAATGCCTCTGCGACCACTCAGATTGCGGCGGCGGGGTGTGCAACACGTCGAAGCGGCAGCGCAGCCAGTGTGTGCTCGGCTGCGACGGCTGCGGCGGCGGGGTGTGCGACACGTCGAAGCGGCAGCGCAGCCGCTGTGTGCTTGGCTGCGACGGCTGCGGCGTCGGGCTGTGCGACGAGTCGAAGCGGCAGCGCAACCAGTGTGTGCTCGGCTGCGACGGCTGCGGCGGCGGGGTGTGCAACACGTCGAAGCGGCAGCGCAGCCAGTGTGTGCTCGGCTGCGACGGCTGCGGCGGCGGGGTGTGCGACGAGTCGAAGCGGCGGCGCAGCCAATGTGTGCTCGGCTGCGACGGCTGCGGCGGCGGGGTGTGCGACGAGTCGAAGCGGCAGCGCAGCCAGTGTGTGCTCGGCTGCGACGGCTGCGGCGGCGGGGTGTGTGACGAGTCGAAGCGGCCGCGCAGCGAGTGTGTGCTCGGCTGCGACGGCTGCGGCGGCGGGGTGTGCGAGGAGACGGAGACCCTACGCGCCAAGTGCTCCTGCGAAGACGAGCGGTGCGGCAGCCAGGTGTGCCCACTCTCGCACACCGCCTACTGGTTCTGCAAGGGCGGCGCGGGGCACAGCGAGCGGTGCGGCGCGGGCATGTTCGTGCGCTCGATCGCCAAGCGGGCGATCGGTGGCGGCGACCCTACGAGGATGAGGGACACGGAGCTCGTGAGGCTGCTCGGCTGCACGCCGCAGGAGATGATGTTGTGGGCGGAGGAGAACTACAAGGGCGGGCCTGAGCAATGCGCGAGTGACCGCGCCAAGGGGCTCGCGCAGCTCGACCACCAGAAGCCGGTGCATGAGGGCGTGGTCGAGGCTCAGAAGGCGAAGGTCAAGCTCGGCGACAAGGACGAGAAGGCGGAGGCCATCTCGCTCGACATCGCGCACTGGTCTAACATGGCCTACCTGAGCACGCGGCTGAACCAGCTCAAGTCCGCGAAGTACCCGGCCGAGTTCGCGGCGCGGCTCGAGGAGAAGCGGCGCATCTGCAGGGCGGCCTTCGCCGAGGGCGGCATGACGGCCGCGATCAAGCGGTTGCGCGCGTGGCAGGCTGCCGGGGACGAGAAGGGCTTCGCCCTCCTCCCCGAGGGGCTCGTGTGAGCTGGTGTGGGAGGCAAGCCGGGAGCGGCAGGCCGGCAGCGGGAGCGAGGGGCGAGGGTGGGCAGCGCTGGCAGGCAGCGTTGGCAAGCAGCCGCGGCAAGCTGCGGCGGAGGGGTGCCGGGAGCTGCTTTGGTGGTGAGCCGCGATGTGCTAGAGTACTTTACACGAGAGGAGTGTGCCTGTTACGGGAGCACGGGGCCCACAGCGGAACGAGTTGCGCTGAACGGGAGCGAGCCTTGGGAGTGGCGCGGCGAGCTGGAAGCGCCACGAGAGCGAGACAGCAAGCGGGACCGGGCTTGCAAATGTGCGCCATGTGCTAAGACCAGCAGCCAGTGTGTGAGGTGCTACCAGAATACGAGTCTGCTCCCGCCGCGACCAAGGCACCGCCAGCAAACCGATACAGTGCCTTGGACGTGGAGCTATGTCGCCTGGCACCGGAACGCCAGACGCCAGAGCTCGACGCACCTGTGGGCAGGAGGCGTCACGGTGCGAAGAGTGGAGTTTGGTCGGTGTGAAGAGGTGATGCAGTACAAGAGAGAGCAGTCGGGACGTGAACAGAGTCCAGCCGAGGTGCTGAAGTGCGGCAGATAGGGCAGCGGCACCGGATTGGTCAGAGTGCACACGAGACGCACACAAGCGTGACCACCTTGACAGCGACGCGGAGGCTGTCGGCAAGATGGGTGCGGGCAGCAGCGCGTGAGCGAGGCGATCGGGCCGGTGACATACCTTGGGCGTCCCTTGTTTGGACGATCGGGCCGCAGTTGAGCAGTCAACGCCGTGTGTGGAGAGAGTTGTGGCCAGCATTCCACAGCCTTGAGCCCACGGGTTCGACAGTTTTGGCTGGTAAGGTATGGTAGCCGGCCAAAAGGGTAGGGGGGTATGGTCCTGGCCGCCGGAGGCGGCCTCCTCGAGGGGTGGGGGGGTATGGTCAGGCTGGCGGCCCTCTCCAGGGGTATGGTCATGCTGCTGGTCTGCACCACACCGGCAACGCTTTCGGCACGTTTTGAGAGAGAGATTTTTATTAACCAACATTGTCTCCACGTTTTGTGGGCGAGCGGGACGCATCCTGGCACTATCTGGCCCATCTATGACAGTGACGACCTACTATGAAAGTCCCTTTCCTGAACATTAAGGTCTGCTGGCGCCGCGGTCAGCTCGATCCGGGAGCGTTCGATCAGACGACCGCGCACCCAAGTCCAAGCTGCTTCCCTTTCGCGAGGCGGTGCAGACTGCCGGAGGCCTCGGTCTCCCCTCTGCCCGTGCGACTTTCGCTAACTCCCTCGAGCGTCTCTCTTCGGCACGATCGTGTAAAATCACGCGGCCAACACAATCACCGGTCCGTTTTTAAATACTAAAAAGTGGAAGCTGGCAGCTTCCACTTATTAGTAGTTAAATTCGCGGGAAGACATGCAAGTTAAATAAAAAGAAGTCTTTCGTGCTGCTCGCCCACCTCTGCGCGGGACGACATGGCCGCCGATGCGGCACCTCGCGCGCTCACTCGGCCTGCCCTCCGCCTCACGGCTCTGGCTGTGAGCATCACGTGTCATTTGCGCTCGCGGCCATCGAATGTCCAGGTCGAGTAGGCTCCTTGTGACTCACGCGTGGATTTTTCGGCGACGCACCATCTCTTGGGGTGAGCGAGGCCGTTGGGAGTTGGGGGTGTGCGGGTGTTGTGTCTGGCCCTGGAACGATGCCGCCCTGGCAGCGCCGTGTGGCACCGGATGCGGCGCGCTCGCCACGGTCGCCCGTGGGATGCGCGTCGCGCCGGTGCACGCGCCGCCCCACACCGGGCCTCCCGGCTGCATCTTGGCGCCTGACGCCCGTCCCAGCCGTCGCATCCGCAGTCGGCGCCCTAATTGTGCTCGCAGCCGCGCACGCCCGGGCGCGTCGCCCGCCAGCGGGGGTCGGTGGCGGCCCGGTCTTGTGCGCGGCTTGGTGCCTGCAACCACGGGCCATTTTCGGGGCGGCGACGCGCCAGGGCGCGCCGTCGCGTTTGGTGAGCGAGGCCGTTGGGAGTTGGGGGGTGTGCGGGTGTCGGCCGCCCTGGCAGCGCCGTGTGGCACCGGATGCGGCGCGCTCGCCACGGTCGCCCGTGGGATGCCGTCGCATCCGCAGTCGGCGCCCTCACTGTGCTCGCAGCCGCGCACGCCCGGGCGCGTCGCCGGCCAGCGGGGGTCGGTGGCGGCCCGGTCTTGTGCGCGGCTTGGTGCCTGCAACCACGGGCCTGGGTCGTTCCCTGGGTCGGTTGGTTGCCTGGGCACGGTGTCGAGACTCTACAAGCCACGACAGAGAGTGCGCTCGGGCAGGTCGGTACTTCTGCACCTCACGGCATCACACACAGCCCATGGAGAAGAAGAGTGCCCATAGTACGCCTTCGAGGGGCCGAGCGGCGAGCGCACAGACCACACGGACATGGGCCCCTCGCACCGAGCCGGAGCGTGACATGCCCGCTGCTGCGGCCCAGCACGCGCCATGCACTGATGGCTGAGCGCGTCATCACCTGTTCTTGCACTCACAGGCATGGTAAGTCAGTGCTGGTGCTCCACCTTTGCCGGCGGGACCACGCGAGAAGGTGTTTGTGTGTGCCTGCCGTAGCGTAGCGGCGACTGTGCAGTTGTGGAGTTGCAGTGGAGTAACGCCAATGCTAATCGATTTTGGGAGATGCTATGTGACTGGAAGGGCCATCTGACCGCAAGTTTGCCCATCAGCTGTGAAGCTGCGCCATATGGGATTCGCCTTCGCTACGCCGACAGAGCTTGTGAGCAGAGAACGTGCGTACGAAAGGCGCGAATTGGTAGTAAAAGAGTTTCGATTATGAATTGGTAGTAAAAAGAGTTTCGATTGCGGGAAAAACAAAAGTACTATCGCCGTGCTTCCAAAAGAATCCCTGGTTTGACATCAGATTCAAAAAAGAAACCGAGGACCGAGAAAGCTGAAAGGTAAGGTAAGGTAAGGTCAACTTCTCCACACACACGAGGGCGACAACGAACACGTTGCACGGCCACGGCCCCGCCCGCAGAAGAGGGTCGAGGGAGGAAGGCCGCGATGGGAGTGCTGTCTGGGCAGATCTAGCACATAAACTTCTTTCATCAGGTCTCTGGGAGCTTGCACATGTCAAGAAAATCTACTCCTCGTCACAAGCCCAAGCCTCGTCGTCACCTTCCCCATCCTCTCCCCCTCCCGACTCACTGCCCCACTCCCCCTCTCCGTCCTCACCCCCCACCCCCTCCCTCTCTTCGCAGTCGCCTTCCTCAGGCTCGCCTTCGTCAGGCTCGCTCTCGACCGCGTCCAGAGTACCCGCTGCACGTTCGACGTCGGCGTCGCCAGCGAGATCCGATCGCCAGAGGCTCTTGTGCAGCCGCAGCAGCGCCAGCGCCGGAGACGAGTGCGCCGCCCGCCGCCCATGCGCGTCAATGCTGACGATTGCCACCCAACGGACGGGGATTGGCACGTCGTCAGTTTCAGCAGCAGGGTGGGAGACAGGGCGGAAGGTGACGCGAAGGACGTTGTGGAAGAGGGCGTGCAGCAGCAGGGGCACGCGCGTCCAGAGAGGCGTGGGGCCGTCGCGAAGCCGAAGCCACTCCTTCGCGAAGGAGCGGAGGGTAAGGGAAGGTTGGGCGAGGGAGCCCATCGCGCGAAGCAGCGCAGGAGTCCACTGCTCGCGCGCGATCTCCACCGCGTCCGCGTCGACCGCGGCGGTGGACGTGCAGCTGCAGCGGCGGAGGCAGTTGTCACACTGCCAGTCGTCGGGGCAAGGGTCGCACTCCTCGGTGCCAGCCCCAAGGCTGGACTCGAGCAGCTGGTGGCGGCACGTGGTCTCGTCGAGGAGGAAGGAGAGCACGTCGAGGCAGAGGCCGTAGCCGTAGCCCTGCCCCACCTCGCTCTGCGCGAGGTCGCCGTGCCGCCGCTCGAAGAGCTCGATGATGTCATTGAGCGTCACGTACCACCGCCAGATGCTGCGCCGACCCGGCCCTCGGCCGGCACGGGCGGCCTCCTGGTACAGGGCCGTGAGGCTGCGCGGGGGCATGTGGTGGTACACGGCGTCGATGTCGCGCTTGTCCATGCCCATGCCCATCGCGCTGGTCGCGGCCAGCTGGCGGATGACCGAGTCGCGCCACGCCGCCTCGAGTTCGCGCCGCCGGATGCGATCCATGCCGGCGTGGTACGCCTCGATGATGCAAGGCTCGCCGTCGGGGGCAGCTTCCGGCAGCCCGCACACCTCTCGGAAGGAGCCGGCCAGTCGCTCAGTGCCGCGGCGCGAGTTGGTGTAGACCATCATGCTCTTTCCCCCTGCCCAGGGACGACGGCAAGAAACCCAAGGGTGTTAATGGTTCGATCCTCCCCAGAGTCGAACTGGCAGCCACTCGCACCGAGGAGGCGAGGTGTGGCTACGTGACCCGAAAAGGCCAGAGTCGAGAGCAACCCTCGAGCTGGGTCGCTCATATACTCAACACGCCCCCACGACGCAGCACGAGGTTGCTGCTGTATTCGATACCGCCGTGTTTCGAGGTAGGGCAGGCGTTCCGGGACGCGAGTTCCCCCGGGTTACCTTGGGCACTATTTTCGATCTTTTTCGTAGCTCACACACGAAGGGACTCGAATCTTCGCAGACAGACCGCCGTCGACCTGGGAGATCTCACCGGAGGTACCATGTTGATGGTTCGATCCTCCCCAGAGTCGAACTGGCAGCCACTCGCACCGAGGAGGCGAGGTGTGGCTACGTGACCCGAAAAGGCCATAGTCGAGAGCAACCCTCGAGCTGGGTCGCTCAAACACCCAACAAAGGGTGAATGTTGTAAGATAAAGCCTGTTCACCTACAGTGGGCACACCGTGCGCCCGACGGGGACATCCAAGCGCAGGCCCCGCACGCGGCCCTGCTGCCCTCCCGTCGGCTGAAATCGACCAGGCCCATCGCCGTGGACCCACCGGCGACTGCGGCGGCCCTAGCACCGGCCGATTGTTTGAGCGATGGCCTGTGCTGCGGCCATCTCGGACGTTTAAGCGGCGCCAGCCAGCGGCTCGGCCGCGCATCCTTCACACACGCCGCCACGACCGGGACGAGCGGCCCCGGTGTCGAGCCATGGTGTGAGCTGCATGTGCGCGGCGGCCGTGGCGACAGCAGGTCCACCAGACGGACCTCAAAGCTTGCCGTCGGCGTGCTGTCGTGGCGAGAGCGCGAGACAGCTGCAGAGGAGCCGAGTGCAGTGGCGAGCCAGAAGCTACCTGGGTCACCAAGAGGTGGATCCTGCCCATTCTGACCAGGGCTGTGCTTTGGTGGGGTTGTGCTTGAGCGTGTGTGAAGTGGGAGTGCGTGCCGGCGGTGTCTGTGGGTGAAACGGGCGTGTGTGAGGCCGTAAGAGCCGTGGTATGAGCCAGAGTGGGCTTCATCACCCAAAATAAGGACGGTTTGGGACAGCTCAGACTTGATACTGATGGGCCTGGGCCAGGAGAGCGACAGAGAAGGCGAGGTGGTGAGCTGAGAGGCTGGAGCGTCCGCGTGTGACCTTGTCGCGAAGCACCTGCCACGAAGCGCTATTTCCTGCTCTCAGGTCACCACCTCGCATTCTCTGTCGCTCTCCTGGCCCAGGCCCATCAGTAGCAAGCCTGAGCTGTCCCAGACCGCACTTATCTCGGGTCTTCAAGCTCACACCGGCTCGTGATGCTCCGGTGTAGGCGCTCGAGAGCACTCCCGGTGGCCCGTGCCGAGCGATTGTGAGGGCTTTACGGAGGTCATTGTCGGCGCCACCGACCGTGAAATGTCCCGATCCACAGTCCTCATGCACCAGACGCATGGATGCAGTCATAATATGTAGGCCTTCTCTCCAAATGTTTTGAGCAATAGCCGCAAAAGGCGCTTCTTGGCACTTTTCATATCGCGACACGTCCAGGTGCAGACAAAGCGGCTTCCCAGCTCACCACCTCGCCTTCTCTGTCTCTCTCCTGGCCAAGCCCCATCAGTATCAAGCCTGAGCTGTCCCAAACCGCCCTTATCTTGGGTGATGAAGCCCACTCTGGCTCATACCACGGCTCTTACGGCCTCACACACGCCTGTTTCACCCACAGACACCGCCGGCACGCACTCCCACTTCACACACGCTCAAGCACAACCCCACCAAAGCACAGCCCTGGTCAGAATGGGCAGGATCCACCTCTTGGTGACCCAGGTAGCTTCTGGCTCGCCACTGCACTCGGCTCCTCTGCAGCTGTCTCGCGCTCTCGCCACGACAGCACGCCGACGGCAAGCTTTGAGGTCCGTCTGGTGGACCTGCTGTCGCCACGGCCGCCGCGCACATGCAGCTCACACCATGGCTCGACACCGGGGCCGCTCGTCCCGGTCGTGGCGGCGTGTGTGAAGGATGCGCGGCCGAGCCGCTGGCTGGCGCCGCTTAAACGTCCGAGATGGCCGCAGCACAGGCCATGCGTCGCGCCGCCGGCCAAGCCCAGCCTCTCGGCGGACCCCGGCCGTGCCAGAGGCAGCCCAGGTGGCGCGTGGGGCCGCGGCTCGGCGCTGGGAGCGCGCACGGGGCTCAGGCCGACCACCTGTAACGGCCGACCCCCTGTGAAGAGAGCTTGGATGTCCCCTCGTCCAGCACGCGAAGTCCCACTTTGGCATGCTCGTGCTCGTCGCCATCTTCGTCTTTTTTGCTCATTCTTCTTGCGCGTCCCAGCGGCCCTAGTGCCACCAGCAAGCAGCCGGCTGCACGGGGCGAGAGGGTGCGTTTGAACGACCTTTTCAAAGGTGTGAAAAACAGGTGAACAGGCTTTATTCTTTGCCCAGCGCTGAGTCAGAAGCAGGCTTGACTGTCGTGCCGCAGCAGGCAGGTATGATGCGTTCCTCCATTCCTTCGACAGCCGCCACCGCATTCATTCCCGAACGGAAGCCACATCCCGGCGGCTGGCTCTGGGGCGAGATGTTCAAGCTGCGCAACGTCGTTCTTGTTCTGCTCGTGGCACAGACGACGTCGATCGTCCTGCTGATGCGGTACTCTCGGACGGTGGTACGGCCGTTGGATGCAGGTGCGCCTGCCCTCCCGAAGCAGTCACGCCGGGCCCTGCGAGTCACCTGCCTGCGCGTCGCGGCAGCTCCCGTGCTTACCCGCAGGCCCGATGTACCTCGCGAGCGCGGCGGTCTTTCTGGCAGAGGCGGCGAAACTGCCGTGCTGCCTGTACATGGTGGCACGCGTCGGTGGCGGCTGCCGCGGCTTCGTCGAGCTCCTCCAGAGCGAGGTTCTCAACCAGCCTGGCGAGACGCTCAAATGTGCCGTGCCAGCGCTCGCGTACACCGTCCAAGGGAATCTGCTCTTCGCCGCGCTCTCCAACCTCGACCCACCCACTTACCAGATCACGTACCAGACAAAGACGCTTTTCACGGCCGTCTTCTCGAGGATGATGCTGGGCCGCCGCCTCGCCCACTCCCAGTGGCTCGCCCTCTTCCTCCTCTTCCTCGGCACGGTTCTCGTCTCAGACTTGTGCGAGCCACACCCCGGCCGCCCCCGTCCCCTCGCAACGCGCCGCGACACCCCCGCCGTGCCGCGTTCTGCTCCGCGCCGCCACAGCCCCACCGCGGTCCACCTCCTGCACCTCGCTCACGTCCGCAGGAAGGAGGCGCGGCATCGTGCACGGGCAGGCGGTGGCAAGCCGCTACTCGGCTTTGCAGCGGTGAGCCTGATCTCGGCGGCACCTCGGCGGCACCTCGGCGGCACCTCGGCGGCACCTCGGCGGCACCTCGGCTGCACCTCGGCTCTCTTCGCTGCACCCCGGCTCTCCGACTGCACGCCGGCTGCTCCTCGGCTGCTGCACCTCGCGCATCGTGGCCGTCGCGGCTGGGGGCCTCATCTCACGGCCGCGCGAGCAGGTGCTCGGCGCCGCGGTCCTCTCCTCCCTCTCTTCGGTCTACTTCGAGCGGATGCTCAAGAAGCCGGCGCGCTCCGCGATGGCAGACCGGGCAGGGCTCTGGCTGCGCAACGTCCAGCTAGGCGCCCAGCCGCGTGCGTGCGGGTCCACGACTGCCATGCCCCTCCTCCACGACTGCCATGCCCCTCCTCCACGACTGCCATGCCCCTCCTCCACGACTGCCATGCCCTCATCGGCGGGTGAGCCCTCACCGACCGCTGTGGCCAGGCACCTTCGCGCTGCCGCTCGCCGGGCTCACCATGGTGTGGAACGACGGGTGAGCTGGCCCCTTCCCGCGCGTCGCCACCCTCCTCTCGCCCTTTCTCTCGCCCTAAGAGCGCCATGCACGATGAGAACAGGGGGAGGGGGGGGGGGGGGTCAAGTTTGGAAGTCACGTTCGCTCTTAGGCTGCAGCTGCGCTCCTACGGCCTGCTACACGGTTTCGACGGAGTCGTTTGGCTCGTGGTGCTGCTCAACGGATGCGGCGGGCTGCTCGTCGCCGCGACGATGAAGTACGCCGACAACATCGTCAAGTGCTTCGCCGCTGCCCTCGCGATCATCACCGGCATGCTGTTGTCGGTCCCTCTTTTCAACGTGCCGCTCAGTCCCATCTTTCTCGTCGGCGCAGCCTCGACGGTCAGCGCGACGATGCTCTACTCGCGCGCCCCAGACCTCTCCTGCGCCGCCCCGCCGCCGCGCGATTCGGAGGATGAGGAGGCGGTGCTTATGGAGGCGAACAGCGCGCGCAGCAGTCCACGGTTACTGGAGTCGCCGGCTGACGCTAACGAATTGAGCCGATCGTAGATGCAGCTCGCGTTTCTTTTTTGCCCGCTCTCCCCCCTCCCACCCAAATATGTGTGTATGTCCGTCTCGTTGCTCCGCTGTCGCTCCGCCGCCCAGCGCGAACTGTGGCGAGCCAGCAGCAGCGTCGCCGCGGCGTCGCGTCCGTGGCGCGTGCTTGGCTTGCAGCAGGTGGCCATCGGAGGGCTGGACAAGAGCAAGCTCTCCGCGTTGTGGGAGGGTGTGCTCGGCGTGCCAAAAGTTGGAAGCTACGTCTCTGAGAAGGAGAATGTGGACGAGGACATTCTCCGGCTCGGGCAGGGGCCGCTCTCGATCGAGATTGACCTGATGCAGCCGCTTGATCCCAGCCGTGCCCCCAAGGTTCACGTGCCGCCTCTGAACCACATCGGGTTGTGGGTGAGACGCCTAGCGCAGACAGCCACATTTAGCCGCACGCCAACGCACGCACGCACGCACGCACGCACGCACGCACGCACGCACGCACGCACGCACGCACGCACGCACGCACGCACGCACGCACGCACGCACGCCGGCAGGTGGACCCAATCGAGGTGGCGGTCGAGAGCCTCACGGCTCAAGGGGTCCGCTTTGCACCTGGCGGCATCCGTAAGGCGCTCGCCATGACTCGACGCATGCCCTGCCTCCGCTGCCACTCAGCCCGGCCGCACCACACAGGGCGCCGCGGGGCACCTGGTCGCGTTCATCCACCCAAAGGGCAGCGAGGCGGCGCCGCTCTGTGGAGAGGGCATCCTGCTCGAGCTTGTGCAGGCGCGATGTGCCCGCACGACTAAGCGAGAATGCGCCGAGAGTGAGCGAAGCCAGGTGGTCTGTGAGGTGCCGCGCCCAGCCAGCGTCGTGCCCACCCGCGTCAGGCGCCGCCGGAGGTCGTGAAGGCTGTCGACGACGCTGCGGCAGGCTAGCTCCTCCGACAATGCTCACGAACACTCGTCTTCAGGCGGAACCTGCAAGCCGAGCGTGGGGCCAGGGCAGAACACTCCTCGGTGGTGACGACTGACGTGTGTCGTGTGTGCATTGTGTGTGTGTATTTAGGGGACCCGCAACTCTCTTCTTTGTGTGTGCGGTGGGGCACAAGACACGTGCACGTCAAAGCGGTCTTAACAAAGTAAGTATGTTATGGCTCCTGTGTCACATCGGTTGTGAACACCGTCAACGTACCGCGCAACGACAACGTCCAGCTCGCGTCCCCCCAAAGCCCATCACGTGTGTGGAACCTGGGTGGGCTTACGGCTTACGGCTTCGTTCGGCTACGCCGTACGCGGTTTGACTGATCTCTGATGAGTGATGTCTCATCGACCCCGGTATTAAATAAAGGGGAAGGACCCTGAGTTGCACAGGGGTTGTGCGCCAGGCCCTCCTGCTCGGCTCCAGCGAGTAGACAAGTGTTACCATCAACAGAGTGGAGAAGAATCTGACCACAGGGCCGATGTGACCAAGCGCTGGTAGCGTGTGGTTTCACCTCACACCCATGGTCTCACAGTGTGCCGGCAGTCGCCGAGCAGTGTCGCTCACACAAGCCGCAGCACAAGTGACTGAGGGCCAGTGAGGGTGAGCCCATCGCTGTGACAGCTGTGGCAGAGCCGCACATACTGTAGAGCTGTCAAACGTTAACTTTGGGCCTATTGTTGGCTGAAAATCCTCAACGTTGTTCAAGTGTTCTCCCCAGCCCAAGCTGTTACTGTTTGTTACTGTTGTTACTGTTGTTCAGTGGTCAGCAAGCAGAAAATGCCCCAAAACCCGGGTAAAACCCGAAAATACCTGGGTTTTTCCAGGTATTTTCGGGTATTACCCGCACTGGACGCTGGAGATCGTCGTGGGTCACTGCCAGGCCTTCCTTATTGTTGTTCAGCTGGCCTAACGTTAGCTACTGTTGTTGGGGAGCCCCACTGTTGTTCTGTTGTTACTGTTAACACTAGCAACACACTGTTCAGCTCTTAACGTTTGACAGCTCTAGCCGCACAGTGGGCTGTCAGTGCCAACTGTGCAGAGCGTGTGAGCAGCAGAGGAGCTGCTCTCCAGGCTTCTGTCGCAAGGAGCTGCATGCCACCGAAAGCGCTGTCGAGGTTCGCCGAGCGCGGCGCAGGTTGAGGGAAGCCGCCACCGACGAGCGCGTTGGACTTTTCACTCCGGACAAAGGACGGCGACACGCACACGAGCTGCGGTCGTGCGGCCGTCATAGCGGCGAGGCGCGGGACCGTCTGTGGCGAGGTGGGTCGCGTCCCTGAATTTCTGTCAACTGTCACACGGTCCTTTCCCCCGTATACTGAACGTATATTTACGATTACGTGTGAGGACCTGAGGTGTGTGATCAACTGTATGCAACGTCTGTGTTACGTCTCCCCAACGAGAAAGCACCAACAAGCAACATCCCGTCACCCGTCAGTCAGGGATCAACTATTTTATCCTTGTAAGTTCAGAGAGGACACTATCATCCCGCAGATAGCGTCAACACCAAACGACGAGCCTCGCAACGACAACACGCGCTCCCCCGTCGGGCTGCTGGGTTTACGTCTCTCCTCCCTCGCCACCAAAAGCTCGTGGCTCGCCCCTCCTCGTGCGCTCTCCACTCACCCCTCCGCACTCTCTCTCTCTCCTTCTCTCTCTCTCGCGCGCGTGCGCGCCGCGCGGCCGTTGGGGGGCTTCCACCACAAGACAGCCTCAAACCAGATGTGGAGCAGAAATACACCGGACCCAGCAACGGGCCGGTGAAGGGCAGCGCTCAGTGGTCGTCGCCGTCTGGGAGGACTGCAAGGCGCGGAGGGTGGGGCGAGGGCGGACCAGGTGAGCAGGCTGCGGCGCGAGTGTCCCAGAGCCGACAGGGTGCAGCGGTGCTCTTGGGCAGGCGGGGTGAGGGTGGGGCAGGGGCAGGGCTGGGCAGGCGGGGTCAGGAGCGGGACGCGGCGACTAATCGGGTGCGTCGCACCGTCATAAAAGATGGGCGGCTCCTCCCACGTGTGCTCCGGCGGCGGCGACTCGACCAGCCACTCGAGCGTCATCTCGACGCGAGGCGCGACGACGGTCGGGGTGACGCCATCCTCTGCGCAGCAGAGAAGGGAACGAGGGGGGGTTGGGGAAGGGGAGGCGGCGGACAGAATGCGAGGCGGCGTGAGAGTTGTGCGAATGAGCGCGGCGTGCACACGCTCCAACCATCTGGCCCCATCCTTCTCTCACCAACCATCTCTCGCCCTTTGCACTGCGCAGCTAGGTAGCAGCGACCTGCAGTCTCAAGCACCTCGGCTTGCTCGTCGAGGTCGTCAATGACGTAAAACCCCTCGCTGCGAGAGGGGGGGCAGAAGCGCGATGTGTCGGACAGTAGGGGGATGTGGTGAGGGTGGACAAGGGGGTGAGACAGAAGCCGCGCTGCGCAGACGTCCAGGGCAGGGGAGACGCTGCGAGAGCCACCCGCTTGCGTGGGGGGCGCTACGCAGAGACCAATGGCACTGAATCGCGCGTGCTGCAAGGGGACGCGCACCCCCAGAGGCTCTTGTCGTACTCCTGCGCCGCCCGCGTCGCCTTGATGCTCAGGGGCCGCGCTGCCAGCCGCCTCAGAGGGAGAGCGCGGGCGCCTGTGCGGAGAGGCGGGGAAGGGTGGGAGCCGGCCCTGACCGGCAGCCGAGACTCCCGCCCCAGCTCACCAAGAGCGGTTCTCGCGCAGCACCGCAGCATTTCGCCGAGCGAGTTCTGGGTCGGCGGCCGAGTTAAAATTCTTCTTTTGCTCCGGAGACAGATGAGGACGACACGCTCGGCGACACACAGACACAAACAAGCTCACACGACACACAGTCGCGCCAGTCCGAGGAAAATAAAAATCCGCGTGCGCCGAGCACGAGGTTCTCGAGGTGGATATCCTTTGGCCGCGTTGGGTAGCGAGGATTGGTGTGACGCGATCCACGCAGGCGTGTTTTCTGACGGCCGACCGTCAGTGCACGGAGCTGCCCCTTCTCATCTCCGACTGCCCCGGCTAGTTCCTGAGTGAGGTCGTCGGGACAGAGTGACGGCGCGACCCGGTGCGTGTAGAGAGCATGCTGGCGAGGGAAATAAAATCAACGCGGTGTCCCGCGCCGGATGTAGAGCTCTACGAACAGCTCTACAGTGCTCTCCAGAGCACTCTATCTACAGTTCTACGCTCTTCGTTACAGCGGCGCTCTACACCTCCCGCAGGGAGAGTTGGGGTCTCGAGAGTGTAGGTAGGTGCCCACACTTAGTCTTGGTGTTCACGCCACTCACGCCACCGCCGGACTCGCATGCTGAAGCCTAGATCGGTCGCATCGGTGTCATCGCGCCGTTCGTGCTCACGTGGAACCCGGCTCGCTGTCCTCCTGATCTCACTGTCGCCATTCGGGCGCCTTGAGTGCCTTGATCTTCAAGGTTCCCCATGCCCAGTTCGGGGCGGGGGGGCAAACACCCTGCCCGCCCGCCGGCCCCTAGGACTCCGGGTAAGGCCCAGATGTGGCCTAGGGCATCAGAAGGGACCAAGAGGAGTCCAGTCTGAGCCATAGAGCCCATGTCTTTGCCCCGAAGGTCGCGTTCAAATGCCCGGAACGGCCGTTACAGTGGGTCCACAGACAAGGGCACAAGGCCCTGTTCACGCTTGTTTTGTGTTTTTGTTTGTGAGAGCGATGGGTGGCTATGTTGCTGTACGTCGACAGACAGAGCTCACATGAGATCACAGTGAGAGGAAAGCGAACGAGTACTTACATCGGGTTTTGCGGCAGGCGAGGCCACCCTGTCTGTCCAGAGGCAGAGGTCCTTTTTGCGATCTTTCGATCGAGTCTGATTTTGCCACGGCCACGCGCATCGCTCTCCTCTCGTGCGTCGTGGCTGAAATGTCGAGCTAAACCGCCAGGAACGAGCCCAGCAAGCGAAAACTGTGATTCTGGCCGGTCGTCCGGAACGTCGTCGAGCAAACTCGATGCCATGGAGCTTTCGGGTGGCGCAGGCGTTGCACATGGCCGGGGCGATCGTGTGTGAGGGGGGAGTGCCGCCTCCGGAACACCGCCTCGCAGAAATGCCTCAGCGCATACGGCATGCAAGACGTCCAAGCAGTACCACGGTTGCCAGCCCTCCTGAGACGCCATGTCATCGAGTTCCAGCTCATCGAGCAGACCTCTCTCTACGAGCTGCTTGCCATCCGAGAGTTGATCGTGCGGCTGCAGCCCACGCAGCTGCGCCTTGCTAGCAAACGCAAAGACGATGATCGTCTTGAGCAGGCGCTCTGAAGGGTCCTCGTGTTGTCTCAGCCAAGTCCGTCCAGATTGCGAGTGCCGCATAGACAATCTGCCCCAGTGGCAACGAGCCTCCCACCATCGCGCATAAGCCATAACAGGTGTTGGTGCGAAACACGAGTAGAAACGACAGGAACCCACCAAGCACAGTCACAACAACCTTTGATTCGTCAAGCCACTGCAGCCAGGGAGAGTCCGACGGGATGGCATGCTGCACGATCCACACATTCAGAGCCGCTACGAGACCGACGCCAAGGGTCGAAGCTCCAATGCTCTGGCGTAGCACCTCAAGCACATTGCTCAAGTGGTTACGCCACTCAAGGGTCCGGTCGCTAATCCCGCGCAGCTGCGAAGATGACACGCGTGCGAGGCGGGAGTTCCTAGCGCTGGCGGGTGCTTGAATGCGAACGATGGACGGCATGTGCATTGCACACAGCTCGAGGAATAATTTTCTTTCTTTTACGGCACGGCACTAACAACAACCGGCACGGCACTAACAACAACACCAAACCATACTAACGCTTCCTACCGAGAAGCCCAGGCGGGTACATGTACTCCCGACGCAGCTGCTCCATCCATCGCCCCTTCACAGTCAGGTTCACACGCACCGGGCCGAAATCGCACAAAAGAAAACGTGGTCGCCTCATCGGTCTGTGCATCCTCTGCTGCGCCCTGCCCAGCAAACTCTGTGGCATGACGGCCTTGCAAGTTCTTCTCCTTGCGCAAGGAGCGTCCGCATTGCACGTGCTGCGCCTCCCGACGGCGCACTTGAGGTCTGCGGCGG